GATGTACTGCTGTTGATGAGGACGATGACAGTCTGCAGGCACACAACTGCAACGTGAACACCGTGACCTTAACGAATCGTCAGTAACAGAACATTTTACCATAGAGGGTGAGTCATTCAAATGGTTGGTAACATTTCCTCAACAAGTGTGATGTCTAGTGCCGCAGTCTGAAGACCTATGTGGATCATGTACCAACATTGTTAAGGTGAGCATTTTGTGCCATAACTGCTGCAAGTTTTCCGATGCGAGATGCCTCCGAGTTAAGTCTACTCAGGTCAAGTTATTCAACAAAACACATTCTCTATGGTTCTGTCTGAAATACACATCGATCTCACTGAGAAAAAGCGTGCTCCTATTAAGTTAGAAGTAAGACCAGCCACTAGTCAAGTTGGAGGAAATGATGACGACCAAAATCACTACGGTTGGGTAAGCATAGTGGACTGTGCAAACCAATCCTCCCCTTGGTTGCTGCTCCTACCTCGAGAAGAACGGCTAGTAACACCGTAAGCAAGACGACAATTAGAGTCCAGAACTTTAACGGCTGTCGCAATACCACATGTGGCTCACATTTGACTAATGCGGTTTCTACTTCGATAGGAGTAACTACACGTACGACTACTTCCAAACTCCTGACGGAGTGCGTAGAAAAAGAGTAAGCCGATATTAGAGAAAATTGGGTTACAGTTGCCTCCAAGAAGAGCTGTCATTTAAAGTTAACATTCCCAAATGGATCGGAAACTGAGCAGTGTAGCGGAGTTTTCCTAGTGCAAGCAGCACCGGCTTCCTGCGGTACCTCTCCGAGTACTGCAAACAACTACCTGTACTGAGCGTAGTGTGCTCCAATATCCCAGAATCAGGCAGACAGTTGGATGACCTCAACCAGTGGGATATTATTAGTAACCTAATCGGAGTTGTACTGAAACCTGTACACGTAGTGCGTTTTATGCGACATCCAACTCTAAGCATTTCGGAGAGCCAAGACTTCTATGCGTTGTGCTGAACACCATCACTGAAATAGAATCAGTATTACTGTCGACAGGTAATCTTATATTTGAACGCTGTTCCATCCTTACTCTTCCAGACATCCCAAGGGGCGAGCGTTATCGAGTTAACCGCAACTTAGAGGACTACCGGAAGGAAACTTTAACCAGAACCATACTTCTTCACGGGGTTCCTGAAACTGAAGCATGTGATGAGCATGAAGTAACAACCCATGATAAAGAACAATGGTGTTATGTTCGTGAAACACTCTGTTTGGATGATGTGTTGACGAAATCCGTGTCACGAATGCGTACCTCACCGAACTACAAAGGAAGTGGCCCGAGAGTGTTGAAGATGGTCCTTCAGACAAAACATATGGTATCACGGATACTAAAAAGCTGGTACATGTTCCGTTGCAGTCTACCATCTGAAGTTCGGCTGAAGACAATCCGCGATATACCTCCTAGAGATGATATGTCACTCAAAGAAACAAACTCGATGGGATCTATGAAAGAACAATGCACCAGCAGTGTGTCGAATGAACCCATACAACCCGTAGAAGATGATATTGACCAGACACCTTACACTGTACGTAGAAGATTAGACACGGGACAAACTACGCGGACGATGAATAAGACGTTAAACCCTTCACCAACTACACATCAAAAAAACGATTAGTTGCGGGCCACTCACTGGTCGGCGAAACTTCACGTACGAATTGCACAACCTCCGAAACATTGCTTACATCTAAGAAACTTTCATAAATGTACACTAACGCCCAAGGGCTCCTCTGTAAACTTACCGAACTTTGGCTATGTCAGGTTGCGAATGCTTGGGACCTAATTTCTATTGCCGAAACTTGGGTACACTAAGAGGTGACTGATGTTGAGGTTAAGATAGCCGGAATGTCACTCATCAGAAACGACCGCCCCAGCAGACAAAGTGGGGTCCTACTCTACTACCGCAGCAATCCGCAATGTGCAATAGTTGATGATCTGGAAACACAATGTTACCGACTCACTCCGGTGCCGTCTCCGACAAAGACACAACGACGCGTGTCTCGTAGCTGGGATTTACCGCCCCCCAACGTCTACTTCGGAAATGGAATCCTGCTTGATACGTTGCCTGCACAGAAAAGCGCGCACTATGTACAGCCACATTCTCACCTTTGGGGACTTCAATCTACACCATCTGTAGGTATCGGCATCACCCAGTGATCAGTTCACAGCAGAATTGCATGAACTAATCTTTAATATTTCCTTGTACAATCATATCACCACGTCCACCAGATTCAGGACAACAAACAAACCGTCCATAGAGGACCTTGTGCTCAGGAATGAAGAGCTCCTGAAGACGAGTTATTGGTGGATAGTCCATTAGGTCTCAGTGACCGTGTAATAATAATGTTCAGCTATGTGTGTTATGCACAGTATCCGTCTGAACACTCGGAACTAACTCATACAATCACACGCTACCACGTGTTGTAAGAACGCGTCGATGCAGTTGCTTGGGAATTCTCAAACGACAGTCCCCTTGACAACGTTTGGACAGAGTTTGTCGATAGACTCAGCGATATCGTCAACAGAGCATCGGAAACCAAGCCCCTTCGTCCCGCAAAAATGCGTTAAATTCGAAAATTCCTGGCGATAAGGAATGTAGCATGGCGTGCCTACAAGATTATCCCCGACTCAGAGACTTGGGGCAATTTTCTGACCCATCGCAACCATTGCACTGCACTTGTTCGTGAGGGCAAAGTGACTTATCAACAGTGCCTAGCCAAAGAATTCATAGCAAACAACAAACTGCTATATAGGCATGTCAGTAAGCTTCGTAAAGTGAGGCATGGAGTCCCTCCCACATTTCATGACGGACGGTAGAGTACAAAGCGCCGAAGAAGCAGCTAACGCCCTGCTGCTACAATACGCCCCAACTTTCGAACTCGCAGCCTCTACCTGTCCCATAATGTCATACACATTACCAACTCTACTGTTTACACATGTAATTTTCAACGCTACAATTGTGCTAAGAAAGTTACCCTCACTGCGCAATCATAGTTCTCCAGGGGCGGACAACATCCGCCCGAAAGTACTGAAGGATGTGGCCAACGAGCAAGCTGAACCACTATCACATATTTTCCAAAGGTGCTTTGATGAACAACAAGTCCCCACTATGTGGAAGCGTGGCATTATCAACCCAATTTTTAAAAGCGGTAGCTGTTCGGAGCCTGCAAACTATCGTCCAGTGACTCTCATCCCAGTGCTTGCCAAGGTGATGGAAGCAGTCGTCGATAAGGCTTTAATGGACTACCTGGAAAAACGCAACATCTTGGCACCGGAGCAGCATGTTTTCCATCAACACTGGTCATGCATCACCAACCTAATGATTGCACGAGGTAGTTGTTTGGAAGTGGCTGATGATGGGGTCGGAGTTGACGTCATCTACCTGGACTTCTCCAAAGCTTTCAAACGCCTGGATCACCGCATCCTACTTCAACGGCTACAGAATCGAAGATCGTGTACTTGGTTGGGTTGGCAGTTTCCTTCACCAACGGAAACTTCAAGTACGAGTTAGAGGATCACTCGCAAAGCCGATTGAGGTGAAATGTGGTGTCCCAGAAGGCTCAGTGCTGGGACCGCGCTTATTCCTGGTGTTTATCAACGACCTGGAATCAGTTATTTCCTCAAATTTTCTGCTTTCCGCCGATGACGTTAAGATATGACGGCCGATTAGTAACAATGAAAATCGCGATATAATCCAATATGAGCTAGACTGCATATAAATGGTCAAAGAGGAACCTGCTTCAGTTGAACATAGCTAAGTGCAAGGTGATACATCCGTGTCACCAGCCGGTGAGCGCTTACAAGCTTGGAAACCACACCTTGGAGAAGACCCCTCAGAAGCGTGACTTGGGTGCATTGGTACAGGAAGATCTCGGGTGTTCAAAACAAGTAGAGAAGGTGACGAGAACCGGCAATCAACACTTCGATCTTCTTCGCAGAGCCTTCGGTCAACTTGAACCCTCGATCTTTCCCTAAATACTTAACGCTTACGTGCGACCGCACGTGGAATATGCTATTCAGGCGTGGCAGAAACAGGATCTTGTTGCTTTCGAGACTCCTCAACGAAGTGAAACCAAGAACGTCAGGGGCCCCCTTTCATCTGCCCTATCAGCTTAGACTCCGCTCAGCACGATTATATCACGCACCAGGCTCCGATGGCTGGGCCATGTGTTGCGCATGCCAGCACACCGAGTCCCGCGACGTGCATTGTTTGCGCGTTATGGGTGCGGTTGGAAGAGGAGGAGGGGAGGCCAAGTGATGACTTGGTCGAGAGAAATGAAAACCCTCACTTAGAAGTTGGCGTCGGTTGGTGCATCCCGACTGCCTGGCTGGGGTCCTAAGGACGGTGAACACGTTTGGTTGGACACACTTGCTGATATGGCTAGGAGCCGGCCCCAATGGCGTTTGTGTTGTGAGTTCCTTTGTCCATCCCCCTCCTGTTTAGCATGCCCCTCCAATCACGATCTCAATCGTTAGGCATAATATGACTTTCTTTTACGGCAGCCAGCTGTTAGCTCCTCGGAACGATGTCCATCCGTTACTGTGGACTCAGCAGGCGTGCCACTGTTTGTTTGTTTTTTTTCCTTTTCTTGCCTTTTGTATTGCGGCACAATAGCTGAGGTGTTTTCCACCTCCAGCTAACGTGTAATGATGAAGATGATGATGATCAGCTTAGACTGAAATCTCTAAGAATCTACAGCAATCGATATCGGCATTTGCGGGGGGATCTCATAATGGTTTAGCAAATTCTGAAGAGCCCAAACCACATTTGCTGTCCGCTGCTGGAATTGAACCACAACACTAACCTAAGAGGTCACCCAATGAAACTGACAGTTCAGTATAGCTGGCTTGAATGTCGTAGAAATTTATATTCCCCCGCGTGTGGCACCCTTGAAACTCCCTCCCTAATTATGTCGTCTCTGCTATCAATCTGGCGATATTTAAAAAGGAATTGACGTTGCGTTGTCTCATTTACATTTCAGTTTATTAATTGTTAGCCAGGGGCTACAAAACGCAATCCAGCGGTGTCGTGCCGAACTCCCAACAAATGGATTTATGGATTCATACGTTTAATACTCGAACATATCCGCTATTCTACATAAGTCTATGGTGAGTCCATCAAAACATTTTCCACGTTCTCATGCAATCCACTTTTCGAAATAACTTCCATCCCACGGGATTTGTTAAGCAATGCTTTTTTACCCGTAAGAAACCATTGTTCCAAATCGGACTCAGTAAAAGCGCACATCCTCTTGATTCCCGTGCGGTCACGTGAACGTAGTCATATCAGTGAGCCGTCGTCACTCATGGCTTAGCGGACAAGGATAATGTGGATTGGAAGCTCGCCGGCTTAGTGAGAGGCGCGTACTGGTTACGAGTCTAGGCGAACGCAAGAGCCATTTAGCGGATCTTCATAGCATATGTGGTTCTCCAGTTGAAATCACTAGAGATGAATCGCCTTAAACTTCTTCAAGCACAGCCGTAATGTCTTATAACTTCTCTGTGTCATGTTACCATCGATGACCGTTAACCTGTGGTCCGCCAAAACACACGAAAGCAAATCTACCGGATGTACAATTCATCTTTATTACATTAATGCATGTACCTCGTCCCATCAATTGGATGGGTTTGTTGTGAAGACGCAAGGTAAAAATGAATAGATCGCTGGCCACCTTCTTCATGAAACGGACTTGGAGTTCAGTTATCGCGTAGCCAGAGTCTGCGGTAAAGTAGGTTTTGTGATGCAACATGGAATATGGACATCTGGGCACAAAATTTCGCACACACACTGAGATGCATCGACCTTGGAAAACTACACCACCGCATCTTCATTCTCTGGCCAACATGTTAACAGTGCACTGCGCACGTGGCACGTTCGTACCAGATAACTTAAGGCTAGGCGAGCAGGACGCTTGGCATGTTTGGTTAGAAAACTTGTCTCCAAAGGCTTGATCAGCTTTTTCTGATACATCGTATCCAAATAGAAGGGGGTTCGAGGCCAGTGACGTAGTACATAGTAGACGAAGAGTGCCCAATCACGAGCAACCAAGTTGTTTCCGTTGTGCTCCACACTGGGTAGCCACATTAGAATGCAATCCAACGTAGACAGACAAGGAACCGAATGAAGCATGTAGCCGAGTAGCCCGTGATAGAATGCGTAGCTGTCTGGATAGTGTCCAATAGCTGACAACACGCCAAAGGTGATGTTTGCCACCAGTAAATTTTTACTGGTCACATGCAATTTAGTGATCAGTCGATAAGCACAAACGAGATAGGCTAGGACACAACAAGTTTCTTCCCTGACCGAAGAGTAGGTGCTCTCTAATCCGTTAAGCAGATACGGAATCCATGAATCCAGTTCATTGACTAACAAAGAACCCAGTGCATTGTAGTACGTGGACATATGTAGACATATGAGCAGCTCGTGGAGAGTCCCATCGCCTGGTGTGGGGGAGCGGGACACTGAAAAATACAGTGGTACGCGCTTAAACATTTGCACGCATGTTTCATAAGTCTCTGGCCACTCTAGCATGTCATACCTAGTGGGAATTAATCCTTTTGCCTCAAGAGAGGCCCGAGAGATGCAGTTCATTGGATCCCTAGTATCCGACAGGTTCGAATCCGGGGAGTCTGTCATGCTTTTTACCCTCTCCTCGTTTTCAAGAAGAGAGGCGATTTTATTCTGTACCACCTTCTCAAGCAAATCATCTTCCAAAGTGGCCCAAAGGTGTTCAAAAAGCGGTCGGATATGCCACGCAAACTCTGGTAGATGAAATGCAACTTCCTCCAGTATATTTGAACACGGGTTGTGCAACTGTGTGTAGAAACCCTTGTCAAAGTCGGTCTCCTTCGAGTATAAACTGCAGAATGCACCATCCTTTTTTGCAGCCTGATTGATTAAATTCAGGGCAACATCGAAATTGATCAGCTCCTCTTTGGCACTCCCTTCCGCTGCACTCCGACGGTTAGAATGCGAGAGACGCTCTTTGGTGCTGGGTCTTTGATAAATGCTACCGGATTCTTTGCGGCCATGGTCTATCTTCGGTCCACCCGTCATAAAGCCTGAAGCATCCATTTCCTTGGCCGCGTTCGCTACCGCGGCCAACTTTGTGGTTGATGTGGTTATGCTTGCCATCATTCGATCCGAGGTCTCGGTCATTTCCATGATTCGATTCAAAAAGTGCTGCAATTCTTGCGGTAGTATCTCTCTGCGTCGTAGGATTAGTTTGTACAGACCAGGATGACGCACAATAGAATTCATGTAAATCTTCTCCACTAGCGTAGAATTCGCCACCGGCATTGGCATCTTCAGCACATGGTGCTTAACCACACACTTCATCAAAAGCTCTGCCTTGGGGCGAAAATCCCAACCCTTTTCCAATTCTCGCTGCAATCCAAGCATCCCGTTGGGGATGGGAATAAAGCGCTTGGCCAGTCCCTTCAGGCGAAATTGAGCCATTAGTTTTTCACGGACTGTGCTACGGTATGTGCAGGTGGACAAACGTTCATCTAGCAAATCAAACCAAGCCATCGGATTTGGATCCATTGCTGCCGAGAACAATTCCTGGCAATGCGTCAGATCGGTCGAAGGTGCTTTGTCACGGTGCCTCCTATGTTTAGACTCCCGTTGAGTTTTCGTTTGTTTTGAAGGAGAGAAGGGTAGACTGCGATCCTGAAAAGCAAAAACAGTTCTGGTTGTCGGTTCCCCTAAGTCTTTGTTCCTCTGGATAAGTGGTTCAATTCCGAGTGCCATCAGTGACTCGGAATGCTGTTGCTTGGGTGCCTTGCTTATCTCCTGAGCAAGTTTTGGAGGTTCGCTAACAGGTCGCCTTTGGTTGAATTGTTGTGAGCGTTTATCATGTGCAACTTCGATGCTCCGTGAGCTGAGAGATTGTATTTCGTTGTATGAGGATGCGGCAACCTGATGTTGGTCCAATTCTGTCGAAAAAGCTGCATGAGGTGCCGTCCCATCACCCGTGATGAGAGCCATCGATTGTTGTGGACTCTGTGATGCAAGGTTCATTACTTGGTCCATCGGATTTAGCATAATCGTCGTGGAGGTTTGTTCGGAACAGCCCCCACTGATGACCTCCTCCTCAACGGGCTTGGGTATGATACGCGTACGGTTACGCCAAGGGCTCTGATTCGGATGAACTTGAACCACAGGATCAAAGTGGAAGTACACACGCTCATCGTCAATCCACTTCTCATCATCCGACGTTGTTGGCGTAGCGCTACCTGACTCCAGAGGATCCAGTTCCGACTCGGCGCAGACCACATCCTCAGTTGCTGCAGAATCCAAAAACGACTGTTGCTGAAATAGAAGAGGAGAGGATATGTCAAACACGGGGCAAAGTTGGTAGTTTGTTGAAGATACAGGGTCATGCCATACGTCAGCTGATGACGACCTGATTCGTCTGAGTCCATCTCTGGCGAACCACCGGTCATGGTCAAACGGCATACAAGAGCCCAATGTGATTGAAAGGCATTATTGCAAAGAAGCGGCCGATTCATGGCCTAAAGTTGTAGTTCACAGTTAACACTGTCCACGGACTTGAAGCCTAGCCAAAACGTCCATAGTCAGATACAAGTATAAGGAACTCAGTAGGGACTAATATCTAAGAACTAGTGTGTTGCATTTGTGGCACGAATCTAAGTACAAGAACGAACGCATAGATGAAAAAATGTCATCGTTTTCAACGTTTCTGATAAATATAATTTGGACAAAGTAAAACATCTTTATTGAATAACTGCAGAATGTCCAATGTTGAGTGCAAATATCTGCTCATGAAAAATAAAACACCAACACAGTGCTGTCCGATCACTTTGTTAATTTGCAAGAGAAGTATCGGCCGACATATTCTTGGCGTTGTAGACTAGTGAAAACATAACACGTTGTTTAAGGACGCACTGTTCAAGCTTTATAGGACTCCTCTACAAAGATTCCTCCTTGAGATCGTATCAAGAACACCGAAAGCATAGATAGCATGCGGCCCGAAACCCCAAATGGCGATATAGTAAGCGACCATAATCGATGGAGAAATTAAATGTGTTAGCGTGGATCTCGACTGTGAAAATATTGAAGTAGAGACATCGAGTACTCGTAAGGTCAGCACCTTCAAAATGTCTCAACCACAGCCAAGGAATGTAAGGGCCATCGCAAGTGCCATAACCAGCAATTGCCTCGGACCGGACGCTTCGTGGATCGGAATCAAAACTAGCCCACGACCAGCTGCAAGGGCACGATCCACTACCGGAAGCAACAATCAACGCACACTCATAGATGGACACCAGAGTGGTAGAGGCACAATGCTGTCACCCTTGTTCATTACAAAGACCGGTGCTTGCCAAGAACCTTCTAATTACCCGGATTCATTCAATGGGTCGTGTAAGAAATCTCCGCGACGTAACACCACACTGAATCCCAAGCCGATAGATAGCATGAACATTATCTATTCGATACTCATGCTTTTCGTCCACCAGTTCACAGCAGAAGTCGTCGAGACAGGTATAACTACAGAAACAAGTTGATAACGTCGCCCTCAGGTCACCCCATATATGCGCAGCTACTCTTAGCCAAGTCTTCTCCTCCGACACCATTTGGGGGAAGCGGGGATGGTTCCGCAGCCATTCCCAAAAATGACACCTTAACGGACGTAAACTGTATGGTGTACCAATCCTCCTTCAATGATTTTAACCTTACAGCTGGCTCACGACTATATCAGTCGCAATTTGTACTCAATACCCCAACTACTTCCCTGCCCCCTAGTGTGCCAGGGCTGCCAAGTGATAAATGGTCCCTGCTTCAGAAATTATTAGTGGCAGTTCCGATGGAAACATGTCTATACACACCTCTCCATCTCAGATAATTCGACCACAGTGCTTCAGATAATTCATTCATCAAATGCTGACCCCGCACAATTCCAACAAATAATAAACTGACCCAATCAACCTCAATCTAATGTTGTTTTGTTGTTCAGAGTACGCAACCTCAAAACGAAATCCACTTCCATACCCACATATTTCCCTTTATGATACACAAATGTGACCGAGAAGTGGTTAATAGAAGGCATACATAAATTCGACTACAATGTATTGGAATACAATACATTTAGTGGGTGTCGTAAGTTTAGACAAGGTGATGGATGAGACATCAATGAGCACGAAACATTGCGTGCTTCAACAATAAGTGTTCCATCACCTAAGTGTCACCATGAATCGGTTTTTATAAACGGTCCAATGGATAATAAGCTTTTACACCTTGCTTACGTATACGTACACCCTAATTCCAATTCCCTATAAAATAATATCTTACAAGAGTTACTTTGATATGTAACAGATCAATCAGCCAAGTACAAAATGACAGGTGGCGGTTTCAACATGTCTGACGGCTCATGGACTTCAAGCCGTTTGCCTATCAGGTATGTAAATCCGATTTCGTCTTCACATCCATAAGGATAGACACATCATGTTACAACTCCCACCAGAAAGAGAAACATAACGGATCTAATATTTAACATGGGCCTAATACCACATTCCGCTGATGTTCCGGAATACTTTCCTAGCAGTGACCGAAAGGTAGTCTTCTTTTCACTCCCAAATCACGCTCGACCGCCAAAAACGACTGCGTCCAAGTCACAAATGTCCTCAAGACAATGTGACCCACGTCACATCGTCCGACAATAACGTGACTAGTGAGCTCTTCACTTCCAAGGGTTTTCCTTGCTCCATCTTCACCCAGTATAGTCATCATAGAATCATTCGAATCGGATTAACTTCCCGTATTCAAGGGTTAGATGTTTACGGAATTATCTCCTACGGATCATGATTCCTGCAGCTTATCATGATCAGTCTTACTTGTAAAACATTTTTTGTAAACTCCCACAAGTGAACAATTGCATTCGATAAAGGATTCTCCGCGCTATCTGGTGACTCAAAAGTTACTCATACAGGATCAACTCTGAGAAGTTACGAATCAATTTGCGGCTTGGGATCATATTTCCCCAATGGTGACACTCAAGTGCTGGAACCTACCTAATACAAGGCAGGTTAAAGGTCTTAATCGTACACGAACCGCCGTCAAACGATGAAGCAGCCAAACTGCGTGTGCGTAATTCCCGAGACAAACCCGTCTATGATAACTGAGGACAAGCGTGACTGTAACAACGAACCTAAGCATGTTTCCCCTCTACCTCAAGTGACCGGACAGATGCAGTGTTCAGCTGAGACAAGTCGTCACTGAATATGACCCTACTTAGCGGTAAGTGTAAAGAATCGTAATGCACCTGTTATGTAGACCCGACGTCCCCATAATGATCATGAGCTTAAACCACGGAAAGCAAAGAGACTCGATTCAGACAAGTGCACATATGCAATCAGCCTCCCAACTCGTGAGACATTCCCGGTTCGATTGACCTTTGTACCTCTGAAATCATTCCTGTTTCCGGCCAACCTCCCTACAATCACAAAACGTTCAGCCTTTTATTACTTAAGAAACATTCAATCAGTTAGTCAAGTTCTCAAGAGAGGACTAGCCGACTTTAACAGTACCATTGCATTCCATCCCATATGTACAGGCGTAAGTCAAGTAGAACTAAAGAGGCTCAACGAAGTGGCTGATGCTCTCTGGTTTCGCCGCGTATGCAGAGTCATTCGATTGTCAATTGTATAGTAGCGTCAAGTAACGAGCTTGTCCTGCAATCTGAGGGCGGGGCCTCGAGCCTGCGTAAAGCCAGGGCAGCCCCTTGCAGTATCCTTAGCCCACGAGTGACTGGTGGTGGTTGCGCGGCAGCGAAACGTCGGTACTGCGTATCGGCGTATTGCTGATAGAATTCTGTGCTCATGTGCGAAACGTAAATAGAAAATTGGGTAGATAACGAGCAGTGGTGCTTCGCCACTGGAATCGAAGCAAACCAATCCTTTTTCCTAACAACACTCTGAACTCCGTCCTTAGGTCATAGATTAAAGTCAGTCTTGCTAACCGTCCCACAGTCTCGGCATCAATTACAATGACCAAACCTAAACACTCAATCATGCAGGTCTCCGTCGACATGACTGGAACCTACACCTATTGAGTCCGTCATGACACCGGTAGCCCAAAGTCGGAGGCAATACAGTGAAGAGAATAACAGGTAACGCACGCATCGACCGTCTTGATAAGCACACCGGGAGTGACGCGAGTAGGTGTATCTTCCGTACCGAGCACATTCAACTACAGTGGCGACCCTTAAAGAATCAAAATCAACAACCCCTAAACCGATATTCGCCAGGCAGAAACACGGGGCGATAACACTAGTGTCCACTAAGGTTCCCGAGTCAAAATCTGGCATGATAAAGGACAAGTTGTTAAATGATCGTAAACAATGGAATACACAGTTTGCACTATACTGAGACGCGTAGCGCGTCACCCGATCTCAGTGCACTATGGTGAACCAAAAAATCTTCGAGTAACTCTGAACTCAGTAAATGAGACAGCGGCTGTCTTACTGTCAGCAGGTCATCTTCGTAGCTCACCAAGGCGGAGTGTGTATATTATCCGATCTTCCTTTGAAAAATCGCAAAATGAAGCGGATAACCAAGATGGTCCGTTTAACAATACTGCGACGTGGCGGATGTGACTCGCCAGTAAATAAAAGCACTGCCTCTTCCCCTTCCGGAGGGACATACCATTTCACGAAAAGTTCGTTCAATCCCTTCATAAGATGAGGAATACTGCAAACAAACTTGCGAATTCAGATACACTTCACAAGTTCACTCACCATGTTTACTAACACATATGCTTACATATATACAGAAACCCAAATCCAGTACGTTACCGGTTAACTTGCCACATTTTATACAATTACCGACGATACCTGTTTGTGTTATCATGAGCACGCCTTCGAGACGTGCCTCACACTGCCGGGAATAAAGCATTTATTTATTTAAAAGCGATGGCAGAAAAACACATTTGTTCATGATGTCGCTGTGCTTCGAATTCTCTTGATCACAAAGCGCAAACATAACCGTGAACCATAAATCGTTGATAAGAATTCCTTCATCACCCAAGTACAAGAGCTGCGGTCCAAAAATATCAAAAGTGGTGCTACAGTCCGAAGGAATGGCACAAGTCCTATTGCATAAATGGTTGAAGTTTCGCGCCAGGTTGCCAACCGGGACCCGGCTAAAGGAAGCAGGCGTACGTTTACGAGTGTCCAGCAATCCGATAGAACTTGCAAGCTCATTAAATGTCTTGTTTCCACAGCCCGCGGAATGACCTACGCAACAGTATCCAGGGCAGACGACGGGATAAAGCGAAGCCTGAGGCTATGCAGCCCGAATGACATTCATAAACCAACGATCAACTATAATAACAAATAGAGGACGACCACCTAACGGTTGGCTTATAAACGAACAAGAATTTGACATCAAAAACGCAATCCTAATATCCAAAATACAATCCTGTCTGAAAATAAGGCCCAAGATCTTGATAGGAAGTTCGTAGGATTCAGACAGCGCTAAGTCTCACAACTGCAAAAGCACATGAGGATAACAGTCCTGACTGAAACTTGTGATAATCCATTCTGATATCAATTCATCCGGTATGCCGCGCCTTCGGAACAAAAGAAATGGAAAAGGCGGTGACGTAATTCCTTATCAAAATATAAAGCTCTGAAGTAAAGTTATTGGTGACCCAGAAATCCGCGTCTCTGATTCGCGTCGGTGCCAGTTAAGGTTGCGGAACCCAGACATATGTAGCCGTAATATAACACCTGATAAACTCTAGGTCGGAAATAGACACCAAATGGAACCAAGTTTGGCAGGTTGCCTTGATCTAGTCATACAGTCACATTCTTACCGCTGGAAACTATAATGTGCTGCACGACATGGAAACGCCAGCAACAGATGGTGCAAAATTTAAAAGATGTATATTGTGCCCATGCTGAGGCTGATGTTGCATTCCTGATGCTTCTTCACCGCAGCTGGGCTAAACCAACTTAGAATTAAATTAGGTCTTTTTAATGTGGATAAAATTCATTACATTTTATTTGGCTTGTTCTGCGTACTTGATAACCTTCTCCCAACATGCACACGTCGCTCATGCAACTTGTGGTAAACTTGCGTAATTGCATCGCGTAGTATTTTTAAATAACTTGGACATTTTGTATTTATCACGGATTCACTTATAACCAATTTCTTCTATATGCGCATTTATCGAGTATTTATGTCGTCATATGCGTTTACTTTATTCGATATGGGCATTTTGAGTGATTGGCTGTTGTTTGACATCCCAGGTGTGGCTGTGCATGTTGACAAGGTGCCTACCTGTCCATAACCCACTACCTCGTTCATACTGGCTCCAGGAGAGAGTGGTCGTTGCTGGAGGGGACGGGGTGAACGGTCCTTGTGGTCGTGCTAGGCTCGAAGAGTGGTTCCATGCACTGAGTGTGGAGCGGACTACGGTCCAGCTACCGCCTTATGTACACTTGATCCCCCAAATACAGCGTTCTTGTGTTTGTCTGCGAAGGAGTGTGGAGCGGCTCCGTTGATGAAGCGTGGCTGCCATCCACATGCCTTCTAGTCTTATTCCTTCGGGTTTACACTAGATATGGAGTGTGTGGATGGAGCTGTGGGTGGTGCAGCGCAAGCCACCCATGGTCCCTCTGTAGGCACAGGCGTCTTGTGGCTGGCCATATATATATATATATATATATATATATATATATATATATATATATATATATATATATATATATATATATATATATATATATATATAGGACATGTTTCTAGGGCGTCGCATCACGGCTGATGCCGGTGTTAGAGATGAAGTCTCACAACGGATTGCAAAGACCCGTCTTGCATTCAGCAAACTGAGACACCTATGGCGTCATCGTGATGTCAGTCTCAAGCTCAAGAGCAGTATTCTTGTATGGCGGAGATTTGGCCTATCCGCTCGGAAGATGTGACACGGCTGTCAGTCTTCAACAATCGCTGCCTACGAAGGATTGCTCAGGTGTGGTGGCAACACCACGTAAGCAAACCAGAGGTGCGAGACCGAGTGCTTGGAGCGAGTAGTGCGGTTTCGAACCCGCACCGCAAGATTAGGAGCCAAGCTTGCTACTTCTAAATTACAGGCCAAACCTATCAAATGAAGTCCAACGACGTTACTTCCTGTGCTTTCTAAATTTTGGAATCAACAATGGATGCGTTAATGTATTATCTGGGAAACCACAAACTAATAATTCTAGAGCAATATAGCGTCCACCAAAAGCACCAATGTACTACTAACCTATTAATTGCAAGCAGTAGCTAGACTTAAGTTGCTGATAGTAGAGCATGAGTCGATGTTATCTACCTGGACTTTTCAAGAGCATCATCAGAGCTACGTCACTGGCTCCCCAATTGTGGGTCGGATAAACAATTTTCTAAAAAAACGTCATTTGGAGGTAAGAGTCCGGGAATCTCTGCCTGAGGTAATCGATGGGGTGTGCAGTGTGTCATAAGGCTCGGTGCTAGGGCTTCATCTATTCGTGAATCAGGGCGCCCGTGCTGTTGCTGATTGTCTCGTTGATGCATGGGTTTCCGAGACCACGGCTGCAGATCAGCTAGAAGAGCATGCGATAATTGACTACTGTTCCTGATTCCTCCATTTTCTGGACCAGAATCGTCCACCAGGCTTCCTTGTCAGAATGCAAGCTCCACTTTAATTCGCGCCTAATAGTCCGCACTTCTCGGTAACTGGTGACCAGCCATATGCAGTACGTGTCCAAGCCAACGGATTTTATTCAGTGCCATCGACCCCATCATGCAGATATTTATTTATATATATTTTTGCAACAGTCTATGAATAGACATTGCACCATCGGAAACCATGGAACTCAAAACAAGGTACAGAAATAGTAAAAGAAAACACAACACAACACAACAATGCCCACGGTTTCGTCAGAGGGCGAAATACTACCCGGTTGCCCAAGCCGAAGTAGGGTGTTGACTTAGGGGACACCACCCCGAGCCCTTGGCTGAATAGCCTGCCCGCAAGGCAGCGGAGCGAATTCAGGGAATCGCGCCCATTGGGAGCCGGTGACTGATTGCTCAGTTCATACGCCTTTCGTTTGTTCCTTTGCCAAACAGGGGCCCAATGCTCCCCGAAATTACAGCATCAACTTGCTGGAATACAATGCTTCGCCAGGATGAAGCAAGGGGCAGTGACTTTATTTAGTGGCGAGTCACGTCCGCCACGTCACAGTGTTGTTAAACGGACATATGTGGCTTTTTATAGAGAGAACGCTTGCCAGGCGAAAACCCACCACGTCCTGGAACACTGCCGCCGAACCATTTGCTGGAACGGGAAAATCCCGAACCACCCAGCTGGCACCACGAGGAGGTTGTTCGGCAAGCCAGCAGATACAGTCGCGTTGGGCATCGTCGAGAATAAAAAGTTCATTTTCTCTCCACTTATGTTAATCGTACTAGTATTCAATAGTTCAATGGTTGAACCATTGAAATTGATGGTAAATTAAATGCTGTTCCTAGGCTGAGTTACTGTCACGATGTTGAAATTTAAGCAGGAAGACGACTAATGCCCTTAAGTAATGCATTTCAATCGGACTTTTAGCCAAAAGCCAGCGGAAACAAACACCACCCAAATTAAAGACCCCACGAGGACCAGGAAATTGAGATCGACTGACCCCCTGCACAATCTGGCGGGGGTAACTCGCAGTGGGTCCGAGGTAACCAGCCAGCGGGTTAAGAAGTTGATCAAAACGTCGCACTGGGTTGACAATGTCTCCTCGAAAAGGAATGTGCTTAGTGTACACAATGCTACGCTGTGTATGTTAGCCTGATTATCACGCAGGAAATGAAAGCTGCAACGAATCTATCTCGACGATATCGCCTTTTCCTCGTATCACAACCAGCCGTCACCGGGTGTTGCTGAAAAACTGTGTAAACCATACACCCAAATGTTAACTGGGCACACAGATTTTACATCAAGTTACTCTAGACCCGCCTCATTATCTAAGTCATTATGGTTGTACGAAAAATAAACATCAACTCCAGTTGCTGGTGTACTACTGGTGATGGCGAAATTGATGATGGTAGCTGTTCTCAGCCTCAGGGGTAGACGAATCCAGAAATGACTAGCGTCGTCAGTTGTATACTTAGACCCGACATAAACATCCAAAAATACTTGTCACTCACCGTCACAGAGAACTGCCGATCCACCAATCGATTGACCGTCGATTTCGCCACACCGAGAGAATCACCAACTTGAGTGTAACGCCATTGTGGCACGTCCGGCCATAACGCTTTCTCGCATTCGTACAACTGGTTCACTTGTTTCACGATCTCGTGATCAGGTTCCACGACAAGTGAATCACTCTTTTCGGCCATTTTAAAACCTAACGCATGTTGTATAAATCTGCCAGTGAATTTTGTCATGGGATCCTCTGGAACTGAGGCGAGCACCTGGATTCGTCTGCTTGGTACCGTTGACGTCGATGTGGCTCCAGGGGTTTTGGGACTACGCGTTGTCCGAGTCGATAGCTCTTTGTGTCGAGTGAACAAATCTTCCATCATCAAACGGTATCGATCACGACCTTCGTCAAGCCCATCGGCATTTCGAAGCTTGACCGAATGACGAAGTTCTCCTTCATCTCTAGCTGTGCTCTTGTATAGTTCGCTCTGTCTACCTGTCGACTGTGAGGTCATTGAGTGAACCTCTTCGTAACCCATATCCGAGACCGCAGAAGCATTCTGATTGATAGCTTTCTCATGCAGACCGATCGCATTTGACTGATTTCCTTGCACAGCGTCTATCGATAAGGGCATCCTAGATGCGTTTGTCGTGGTCGTCGGTGGCAGCAATGGTAACTTTTCTTTACTTTCTCTTGCTGATTCCATGTCCTTCGCTCCATTTGACATGTTCACTGTGTCAGGATGTTTTTGTAGCAGCTTTTTTAGGTATGCTGTCGGACAATCAACATACTCCGGAACATATTCATTACACAAGTGTGGCGTTTTTTTGCATTCTTTAAGCGGCGGCAACCTGCCACCGCCTGTCTTAGCTCTTCGGGATACGTCTGGTATACAGGCCACGGTACTTTCTCTCACGAAATGCTGTGATATGTCAGCGTTTCTTTTTGATGCTGCCCGCTGGTCCACTTTTAATGTGCATCTCAACGATTTTTGCCTAGTATATGACACTGGACTTGTCCGGACAGCTACCAACCCGCTCATCGTGATAATTGTTTCACCGAATGCGCTGTGCGTCTGAATAATTCAGCCGGGGAAGCGCATTATCGCTCCAAACCGGGATCGAACGTGCGCGTTACACCGTTCAGTCACGTGGCACAGTTGCTAAAAATATCGATCAAATCGCAAATTTCGATCGGACAGCGCCGTGAGAAGACGCACAATTTTTGTTTACTTCCGAGGACGTCTGGACGTCGGCCAGAATAACACCACTTCTTAAAAAGGAATCTTACAAGCATCGCCCTATTGCTTGTACTTCCATGCACTTAAAAGTCCTCGAAAAGCTACTAGTTCCACGGACTTTCCCAGCCATTCTTGCTGATGCATGCCAGCCCACCGACTCCCTCGACGTGCGTTGTTTGCTCACCGGTGATGTGGATGGAAGAAGAGGAGAGGTGGCCAGGCGATGACTTGGTCCAGAGGAATGAAGTCCATCACTTCAGAGCTAGCCTCGGTTAGGGCTTCACGGCTCCCTGGTTGGGGTCCAAAAGACGGTGAACACGTTTGGCTGGATACACTTGCCGACATGGCAAGGAGCCGACCTCAATGGCGTTCCTGCTGTGAGTTTCTTTGTCCCTCCCCATCCCTTTTAGTCTCCCTCTCGATCTACGATCTCATTTCCTAGGGTAAAACATAATAAATAAATAAATAATTTTCTTTTTGCCTAGTAGCTGGCTGGAAGCTTACCGGAACGATGCCTATCCGTTGCTGGTAGCTAAGCTGGCATGCAACCGTTGTAGCTATTTTTCCTTTGTGTATTGAATTATATGTATGTATTTCTTTCATATTTTGCGGCACAATAGCGGAGGTGTTTTCCCACCTCCAGCTGATGTGTATAATGATATAATGATGATGATGACCTGTTTAAGACCCCAGCATCCCACGCTTGATGCTGTCTCGAACCACGTGCATTCAATAGCCTCTGCGCTAGCTAAGAAATGCAGATCCATTCGACTTCTTTCTCTTGACTAGTCAAATGCGTTCGAGTCTTGATCGACGAGTTCTGCTTAACCTACTTTATTTGAACGAGGTTCGCTCTAATATTTCTAACTTGTTGCGTTACTATTTCACTGATCGGATGCACTTTACACAGTTAAACGGCAGAAGCTCCTCTACGTTCCGCGCTGATTGTGGCGTTTTTCAGGGCGCGATCCTTTCACCCGTTTTAATCTCTCTATATGGCGAAAGTCTCTCAATGTCACCAACATCCATTAGATAAATATGTTGAAGATGTTGTCTTGGGGTGCAGATTTCACGGGTTTCACGGGTTTGCGCAGAACGAGTAAGCGTAGCTTTTCGGTGGTTCTGCCTCGGGATCTTACAGCTACCCAAAACCGGTCAGGCCAGGGTTCGTGCAACTTTAACGGATGGCCACGAAGGGTTGGCAGTCGAGTTGGGCGAAACAGTCCAGTCAAATCGGGATCAATCTGACCCATCAATATACGATATGTGGGGACCAAGTCGCCCCGAAGCCGCCTGTAATACATGGAAAATGTCTCCAACTTATGTTGCCTCTCCGGGTACGTCAGCTTTCTTTAATCCGCGCAACATTTTCGTCTATGACAGCAGGACTCGTTCAACTGCCATCTTATCACGAACCAGTTATAGAGGACAAGCCTGAACGCAGTACTCCAAGTGCGGCCCTACAAAAGCCGAAAATAGTCTAACGAAGCTTCCGGTGGTCATGATGTTGAATTACCTGCGGATCATCCTCAACATGTTAAAATTTTGCGAGCAGCTGTCGTCCAGTGTTCACTGGATGACAACAAAACATCGAGGTCAGATTGGAGTTCAACTCGCGGTACCTCGTTGCCGCCAAGCAAATAACGCGTCGGCGGGTCATTTGGACCAACGCGTAAAACGGAACATTTCGCTAAATTAACGAGCAACTGCCACAAAATTGACCAGTCCCAAAGTCTATCCAGAGCCCTCTGTAGGGTCAGTAGACCAAGCGGCTCATCTATCGTGAACCAGAATTTCAAGCCATCCGCAAACATTAGGGATGGCACGCCCCATTCATCAGGTAAATAAATAAATAAATAAATAGTATATTCTCGGTAAAACGAGACACACCTGTAAAGGCGTGATCAAATTTGCACACAAGCATAGCTTCTGTGGAATGTTAAAACATTTCGTTTTGATGAAAGTTATAAAAGAAAAGATGTTGTCCGTATGAGTGAGCATACTGTCAGGTAATAGTCAGACCCAGGGACATTATGGCGCTGTGGCGCGCAAAAATCCGTCAAAACACAAGTTGGAGGTAATTTCGCCAGGTAGTGAACCGTGAGCACAGGAGCCTAAACAAGGCTTTTTGCAACCAATAACCATTACGAGATAGAGATGATCTGTGCTCCAACAAAGCATTGTTCATAGCAGAATTAGTTGCACAGGTTCGATGTAGAAGGCTGAGGACTGCGTCAGTGTGAAATGCATAGCTGTGGCTTTATTTTGTGGCGAGTCACATCCGCCATGTTGCAGTGTTGTTAAGCGGACTTTTGTGGCTTTTTAAAGGGAAAACGCTTGATAGGCGAAAACCCACCACGTCCTGGAACACTGCCGTAGCTTTCGTTGAACAGTAGTGCAAGTCGGTTATGCATCGTATAGACCGATTTTGCATTCTATTATTCGCAGTCGGTTGACAGCCAAAATTCTTCGTTGGTTGGCCGAATAAATAAATAAATAAATAAATAGTATATTCTCGAATTTCCGAGACACACCTGACCAGGCATGATCAACGTTTACAAGCAATTATGTTTCGCAACAAACACGTTGCTATGTATGTAATCGGCAGTAAGCCGAAAGTGGTCCAAGCTTTGGAAATTGTAAAATTAATCTTGAGGTATAAATTCGTCAAAACATGACGACAAGTTGGGTACTTGTGTGCGTAGTGTAAACAGGATGGGCATTCCGTTTGTAGAGAAAACTTGTCAGGAAAATATTACATTAGGATTCTGGACGGCTTGCCAGTATGTAGTTGTGGGCAGTGACTTTATTCAGTGGCGAGTCACATCCGCCACGTCGCAGTGTTGTTAAGCGGACATTTGTGGCTTTTTATAGGGAGAACGCTTGCCAGGCGAAAACCCACCACGTCCTGAAACACTGTCGGAAATCCGTTTGTACACTAATGTAAAACTGGCAGAGCAGCTCGTCGACTGATATAACCCTCGGTTAACCGCCGTCAATTGCCTTCTAATTTCCTCTGTTAGCTGAACAGGTTATTTTTGCTCGGGGCGGCCATAATGGCTGAGGCCTATGGAGGGTTAGGCCTTCGTCATCTTCGTGTCCAGGTGAGCAAAACTTCCGATTCTTGCTTCTAGAATTTACAGGATTATGTATACTTCGCAGGAGTATGAAGGCGTCATGTCCAGCTACCATTACTGGACGACGGTCATGGTAGTGAGTGCATTTTTATCCACTTGTTGTACAGCCGTGTTCTATGTAGGTCCTTGGGGGTTTTTATGTCCTGTCCCAGGCAAAAGCTCTTTCACGATCCGATCCCAGATCCCCAAGAAGTTCCAGACCTCGGAGAAAGGGAAGGTGAGAGACAAACAGGGCCGCAAAGAACAGACGTGGGAACAAGCATTATTTATGTCCTATGGTCTAACATTTAGAGGAAACATATGATGTACAATGTGTAACAATGATTATGCTAAAAGTGTCTTTTGAATATTCATCGGAAGCAAAGCCCTATAGGTTGGTTGCTACTGTATACCTTGGATGCAGAGCGTTGCGCCGTTAAGCAAAGAAAACACAGGATCAGTTTGCTATGATGCAACTGTTGCGTGGGAAGATTCGCTGGGGAGCGTAGAATATGCTGACCCAAGGAAAGCCAGTGAGTCTTTTGGACTCATACATGGGTAAGTTTCGCAAAAATAGCAGCGAATAATTGAGGAATGAACACCTATGAATGAGAAGCTAAGGGGCTTCTCTGTACTGACCAGGTGAGAGAGTGCCGAATTAAAAAGCTAAGAAGGGCTAATTGACGGAAGGACCGCGAATAGCCAGAATACATGCGTACATTAAGGTTGCTGAGGGTATCAGAACCTGAGGCCTAACCGCAGCAGCCAGAGTGCTAGGGTAATAGTGCCAAGCTGGATAGAGCCATGGACTGCTAGCCCGAGACTTGGAGTATTGCAGGTAAAAAACGCCTAAGACAATACAGCAAGTAATGGGTAGATAAAGGTCAAGAAATGTGAGGCAGAAGTGCGGCTAACGCTGAATACCTGGATATGTTTGCACGACAGAAGAAAGCTAAGAGGTTTCGTGATAGAATGACAGCGGACAAGTAAAGCGCAAGCATACAAAGAGGTTGTTAGATAGTTAGAGCATAATAGACTACGACGCATCGACGTGCAGCTAATCATATCATGCGGTGGTGCTAATGGAGTATAATTAAGGAGGCCTGAGCCGGGAGAAGCCAGTGAGAGAGCTGTACTACGGCCAATTAGGTGTCGCGGATGAGCAATGGCATTTAGGTGTGGCCTTATAATTGCTAGTGGACACCTGATTAGGGCAACAGACAGCAAGTGTATGTGATGCATGCAGTCCCAGGGATTAAAGCTTGGAGGGATAAAGTGTGGAACTTGGCAGCTCAGTATATGCGCAAAGATGATAGTAGCTTATGAAGAAGGACTGCTGCTAAACACGGGAGCCAGAGGTAAGACGAGGAACAGTTAGGGTCGCTGTAAGTGTGAGTATCAGTGATCAGCAATGGAATTTGCATGAAGCCTTTTAGTTGCTAACGTATGCCTACAATTACCCATAATAAATCAGCAAAAAGCGGATGTATGTGACGCAGACAGCCACAAAGTATGTTCGAGATAGAAGAGAGCAGCTCTTAGCAAGCTCCAGAAATGCGTGGAGCCTACGATTACTAGTTGCTGCTAAGCAGAAGTGCTTAGGTTTAAGAGGATGGACAGAACATGGCGCTGCGAGAAAATTTCGGTGGCCTGATGTAGCCAGTCCATTAGGCTATTTGGTTACAAGTGGATTGCTACAGTGTCACAGAGCACATCAACAAGCCAGCGAAGGTAAGTGATACAGACAATCTGGGAGATTACAGGATGAAGAAACGAGGAATGGCTCCTAGTAGCTCCGGATAAGCTCAAAGATGTGTGGAGCCTAC